ATCACCTCTCTGGGCTCTGGTCCTGCCTTGGGGATGCCAGGGGATGTGGCACAGAGGGGACCATTAGCAAGGAAGGCAAACAGCTTGGAATGGAGGGGGGACCTTCAGAAAGTGGAGCTGAATAACAGAGAGGAGGTGAGGATGAGGCGCCTGGGGGTGAAGGTAGGGATCCTGACCTACATGAGCAGGCGGAGGGGTGGGGTTGTCCCCATCCCCGTGGTGTGGAGGATCATCACCCCAGGACCCTTGTTGTGTTTACATTGACTCACTTTTTTGTATTTACTCCTATTTTCCATCACCAGAAAGTTAATGCTGGCTTCTATTTTTTTTTTAAATCTTTGGCAGGGAAAAGAAATGCCAGGTTATTTGGGGAACGGAGCATGAGGGGAGAGTCTAGAAGGGCTGGGGGTAGGGTCAGGCAAGTGATGCCCTCACCTGGGCCACCAAATTTAAGGGGCCACCAAAAAATTCAGTGGCCAAGATACATCATATTTAATGCAATATTTTTAAAGCTCAAAATTGATGCAAAAAGTTCATGATGAGCAACATGTCAACATTTCAGATAAAGACAGAATGGAACACAGTGTAGCCTTGACACTGCCTTGAACACGCGTCCTGACCCAGCCCTTGGAAAATGGGCTTCTTCTCGAATTGCCACTTCTGGAAACTGCATATATTCCCAAACTCAATTTCTTTTGTTGTCTTAGATGTACAAAATGACTACTCCTAAATAAAGTAAAGGAGTAAAAATAGGGTTTATTTAAATTTCAGAATGCATTGACACTGGTCAATCAAGCTAGAGTAAGATTATTTTTCTTCTCTGATGATCTCAGGAAACCACGCTGGCACTTCTTAGCTATAATCCAGAAGCCACCTTTGCCGTCAGCTCATCCAAATTCACACAGTCTGATTCTTACCCATTTTCCAGGACAAACAGTGTACTCCAAGATGTCTCCAGATCCGTGGTCGGCTAACCTGCCAGCTAACCTCAGACTTGTGCTGACCACTTAAACATACCTCATTTATGAAAACCCCAAGAGGGCCTTTTGCCCCTGGGGACTCTTTCACATCTTACAGGGGAGGCAAAGCTTGTCCCCCAAGCATTGGTAATTAACTACTCTGGAGCTCCTCAGTATAGTCTGGGAACTTGACTTTAAAAGAGGGTCTGCATTTTTTAAGGAAAAAAATTCACGATTAAACACAATGATGTTTTCCATGTTAATACATTTACTAATGAAAAACCAAACACAGAGATACTACAGCAGGTTTGTGGAACTTAGAATATGTCTCCATGATCCTCTCACACTGGGTATCTTCTTAATTCCCTGAGAACAGTATGTTCTTAGCTCTGGACTCATTTCATCAGTGCTTGCTTGCTAAAACTGGTCTCTTCTTTCCAATCCAGGTTTCCATCCCTTTCTGGAACAGATGGCCTCCTTTCCTCAGAACCCCTGAGAAATATATGTTTCTGCACTCCAGCTCCAACTTAACGAAATTCCAGTTTTTTCATCTCAGGGGCAAGACCTTTAATTAATGGGCTTAATCTCTTCATAGCTCAGGTTCCTCATCTTCAAAATGGAACTGCCAATCCTATCTTCCTTGTGAAGTAAAATGACTGATGTGTGTTACGTGATTAAGACCATACCTACTACTAGTCATCAGGGAAATGCAAAGCAAACCATATTAAGATACCACCAGAGCGGCTATAAACAAAAAGTTAGGTACATTAGTGTTGATGAGGATGTGGAGAAACTGGAACCATCATATGCTGGTAGCAGGGACATAAAATGGTGTAACCACTTTGGAATGCAGTCCAGCAGTGCCTCAAACTTTATTACACATAGAGTTACCATATGACCATCAATTCTACTCCTGGGTATATACCCCCCAGATGAAAACATATGTCCACACAAAGATGTGTACATGGAGTTTATATAAGCATTAGTCATGATAGCCAAAAGGTAGAAACCATTCAAATGTCTATCAGTAGATGAATGGATAAGCAAAATATACTATAGCCGAACAATGGAACAGTATTCAGCCATGAAAAAGAATGAAAGTACTGATACTGGCTACAATGTGGGTAAACCTTAAAAATATTTGCTGATTGAAAGAAGATAGACATGAAACAACAATTGTATAATTCCATTTATGTGAAATGTCCAGAATAGGTAAATCTACAGTAGATTTGTGGCTGCTTAGGGATGCAGGGAAGGGAGGAAAGAGGAATAATAGAAAAGTGTTACAAGGTTTCTTTTGGATATGATGAAAATGTTCTAAATTGGCTGCAATAATGATTGCATATATCTTTAAGTGGGTGAATTATACAGTATGTAAAGTATCTCTCAATAGAGCTATTTTAAAGCTAGCTGATGAGAAATGTTGAAAAAACATGGAAGTGGTTACCAGCATAACTATTAACAAAGAAGGAAAAAAGAAAAATGTTAACTTCCGTCTGCAGCTCACATATCTGGCTTTATCTTTGAGCTCAAGAGTCCTTACAGCAGTGGTTCCCAAAGTCCCACCCCCAGACCAGCAGGGCCACCACCTGGGCACTTGTGAGAAATGCAGATTCAGAGCTCCTCCCCGACCTGCTGAATCAGACACTCGGGGGGTGCAGGCCAGGTGCCCTGTGACTTAACTAGCCCCCCGGGTGACTCTGATAACACCTCCAAGTCAGAGGCTGACTGCCACAGAGGGCTCACGGGACTGACCCCACACTGCATCTCTGTGCCGTTGGCTTCCTGACTATGCGCAAGTCCTGAGCCTCACTGTGTCCATTTCCTTATTTAAAAATGGAGTGTAACCCAAAGAGGCTGCCTGACTTCACCAGAGCACCTCCCTTGGAGCAGGGTCCAGCCAGGGGAGATTATAATATATATACATATATTATACATATAGTTGCATATATATATATATATATATATATATATATAGCTATTATATATGAGATTATAATATATATTCTACATATACAGTTGCATATATATCATATATATAAATAGTTGCATATATTTGACTCTGCAACACACAAAAGAGAGATATATTTTTACTGAGGATTTCCAAAGAGTTGGGGAAGGGGATTTAGGTCAAGCACTTTACAGTAACTTCATAAACCTTATAAAATGCGTACTTATATCCCTGTTCTTTCTTTGAATTTCACCCACCACTGGGCCCATCACCTACCCATCCCAGTCAACTCCCAGCAGTCGCCTCTCCGCCCCTCCTCTTTCCCTCAGCTTAGCCACGGTTCCTCTTCTCTCTCCCAGGCCTGGCTCCCCAGTTCTCTGCACATTTCTTGTCTCCCATGCAGAAATTCAGATCCCATCCTTTTCTCTATGTCATTTGCATCCTTAACCCATTATTAGGCTCGGCCAACAGAGGCAACTCATAGAAGGGAGGAGACTCTTTTCCCCCCAATATGTGAAGACCTGAACTTGAAAAACCATTTTTCTTCATCACAAATACTTTCCTTCCCTCCACACGATAGGCTAAGAGAGATGATGTTTCCAAAGCATAAGATGCAATGCTTGGTACACAGCAGGCACCAACTCACTGCTGCTGTTTGTGTTGTCATTGGTTTGGACAGAGTGAGCATCCCTCGTTCACGCATTCAAGATAAACCATGCACGTGGGATCTCCACCACTGTAAGGTGGGCATCCCCTCCTCCACATCACACCCAGTTCTGGGGAACAGGAGGAAGCTGACATACAAGGTCAATATTGGAGAGGTCCCAAGCCTGGTGCATCTGGGAGAAAGGAGGTCAACCAGACTGGAGGAAAAGAGAGAAAACCCACATTTAGAATTTACAGATCACTTGCTATGGAGGGAGGTAGGGAGATTCACATACCAGTGAAGCATAATTATTCTCATTTCACAGAGAGAAGACTCAAGTGCCTCTGCCCCTCACCTCGCCTGCCACAAAACCAGAACTTCAGGAGCTCTGGGGGTGGAGTTTGCTGAGGAAGGTCTTCTTCATGGCGTCCTTCAGCTGCTTGTTCCTGAGGCTGAAGATGATGGGGCTGAGGAAGGGCGTGAGCACCGTGTAGGTGGTGCCTATCAGGGCGTCTGCTTCCAGAGACTGGGGACCCCGGGGCTGGAGGTAGATGACAGAGGCGAAGCCGTAGTGCACCACCACCACGGTGAGGTGGGACACGCATGTGGAGAAGGACTTGTGCCGGCCCTCCGCTGAGGGGATCTGCAGGACGGCAGCCACAATGAAGGCGTAGGAGAGGATGATGAGGAGACAGCAGCCCAGCAGGGCCGAGATGCACACCAGGCCCACGCTCTTGGCCACTGTGGAGACATTGTCCCCACAAGCCAACTTCACGAGAGGTGGCACATGGCAGAAGAAATGTTGGACCTCATTGGGTCCACAGAAGGTGAGGTGGAAAATGGCCGTGGTCACCACCAGCCCCATGACTGAGCCACCAGCCCAGGACCAGGCCACCAGGCAGGCACAGCCACGGGGGCTCATGAGCACACTGTAGCGCAGGGGGTGGCAGATGGCCACGTAGCGGTCATAGCCCATGACGGTGAGCAGGAAGGAGTGTGTGAAGCCAAACGTGAAGGAGAAGAACATCTGTCCGGCACAGGCCACGGAGCTGATGGAGCGGTGGGCGGAGAGCAGGTCGGCCAGCATGCGCGGGATGATGGTGAAGGTGTAGAGGATCTCAGAGACGGAGAGGGCGCACAGGAAGAGGTACATGGGCGTGTGGAGGCTGCGCTCGGTCCAGACGGTGCCCATGATGAGCAGGTTGCCCAGCAGCGTGAACAGGTACATGAGCAGGATCAGCAGGAAGATGGCGGGCAGGAGCTGCTGCGGGAAGGTGGAGAAGCCGAGGAGGATGAATTCAGATGTGGAGGTGGAGTTTATCCTGAGCCTGGTGGCCATTCCTGTTCGGGCAGAGAAAGTAGAAGGCCCAGTGGTAAGGATCTTGGTGTCTAGTGAGCCCTACCTGGGAGGGCTCCCTGGAGAGCGTCTTCCCCTCCCCAAGCCATGGCGGGGGCCTCTGCAAAGTACTGCTCCTAATACTGTCTGTGCTTCACAGAGCTGCTTGTGGCTTAAATAAGATCATACATAAGATCATAAATATGCATCTAAAGTGCTTAGCACAGGTCTTGGCCCATGCTTAGAATGCAATACTGGTAGTAGCTCAAGGTCTCTATCCAGCCACACCTGATTTGAGCTTGTCATTGCTTCTAGTCATTTTTCTGAACAGGAATGGAAAATTAAAGAAAAAAGCAACAATTTGTTCTTTTAAACAATGATTATGCTGGGCTCTCTAGTTAAAAAAAAAAAATTGATTGGAAAAAAATCCAGTGTTGGTTGGAGTTGCATCTTTGAAAGGATGTGCAAATCTGTGATCAGTATGCCCAGCTCGCTGCATGAACTCAGAGCTGTCTTAATACTTCACAGTTATGAAGTGGTGGCTTTTTTTCCTTTTTATCCAAAACCCTACTATGTTCTCCACATGAGTTACATACATTTCCGATGTTGTTTTAAAACAGTGCTTTAAAAAAAGTTGGGGGTCCTTAATCTTTCTGAGCCCTAGTTTTCTCATTCCAGAAAGGAAGTTAGTGTGGAGTTCCTAGCTGACGCCCTCCCTTCCCGCTTCCGCCGCTCCGGAGGGCAGCGTGGTGCAGGTGCATGGAGCCTCTCGGCATGGTGCGTTTGCCGGCCAGGCGAGGCCATTCCTGTCCCTGAACCCCCAGGAGGACGCCAAGTTTCAGAAGGAGGTGGCGCGGGTCTGCTGGCACGCCAGGCAGCAGCAGAAGCAAGAAAAATTGACTCCTGGAGCCATCTGTGTGGGTCACGTGCCCCCAGCACTTTACAAAACCCAGATCCGAGACTATTTCTCCCAGTTTGGCACTGTTACAAGATTCAGGCTGTCCAGAGGTAAAAGGACTGGAAATAGCAAAGGCTATGTCTTTGTGGAGTTTGAATCTGAAGATGTTGCCAAGATTGTTGGTGAAACAATGAACAACTACCTTTTTTGGTGAAAGACCCTTAAAGTGTCATTTCATACCACCTGAAAAAGTGCCCAAGGAACTTTTTAAAGAGTGCCACATGCCATTTAAGAAGCCGTCCTATCCAGCAGTGAAGCGGGACCATCAGAGCCGGACGCTCCTTCAAAAGCTACACATGGAGGAGCCGTTTAAAAAGAAAGAAAAATTGCTCAAGAAGAGATTAGCTAAGAAAGGAATTGATTATGATTTTCCTTCATTCATGATACATAAAAAGGGAAAAAAATGCTTCAAACACCAATCTTCAGACATCTACAAACAGCCAGGGTTTTTCTAAGAAGAAGAATCAAAAGAAGGCTTCAGGCCCTCTGAAAATTCCTGAGAAGACAGTGGATACCCAGGTTTTACCCAAGAAGAAGAAGAAAAAGGTGTCAGGCCCTCAGAAATCTCCTGAGAAGCCTGTGGGTAGCTGGGCCCCACACCAGTTTGTACACCAACAGTTTTGGAGAAATGAAAATCTGAAGCAGCTGAGATGGATGATGACAACAAAGATAATGAAATGGTTTTCACAGAGCCCACAGCTGGTGTAAAAGAAATTCAGGACAAATCCCTACACGCTCTTGGACAAAAAGATGAAGAAAAAGTAGTCAGTGCTTCTGAATACATGATGTATAATATTTCTTCTGAAATGTGATTTTTTTTTTGGTAGTAGGTAAAGTGAAATGCAACCATTACAATTTTTGGAGGAAAACCTATGAGCTCGTCAGTAAGGCAAACAGTGGTCTGGCTTCCCTGCCCTCACTGGCCCACACTGGTGAGGCAGCTAGGTGCTTGGGGCCTCCTCTGGTTTCCTCTGGTGTTATTGGCAGTTTTCTTGCTGTCTTTAGTGACTCTGCTGGGAGAGAAGGGTCACCACTAACTGCTGGCTTACTCAACTGCGGTATTTGTTGTTAATATCAAAGAAAATAAAGTCTCCTTTGACCAAAAAAAAAACGAGTTCCTAGCTGACAAGGTTGTCATGAGGATTACATAAGGTCATGCATATAATGTGCCCCTCAGGGCCTGGATAGAGTAAATCCCCCAGGCGATGAGAATGAGGTCAGGCCTTGGCGACAGGAATCAGATTCTCTCACAGTGCGGCAAGTTATGGTTGTATCTCCCTTTTAATTGATGCATTGAATGCATTTTCCTTTTTGGTAAGTACTGCTGTTTTAATTCTGTCACTTTATTTAATACTTGAGCTATTATGTATACATATACATGCATCAACACAGCAAATATATACACACATATGCATATGTAACATAAACAAATACATACAAACATGCACTCCTATTCATTACATCAACCAACCAACCAACAAACACTGAGAAGGTGGAATTGTCCCCAAAACGGACCTTAAGTGAAGCCATAAAGGAAGTCTGGGTCAATTCCCATGCCAGTGTCACAAAGACCCAGGTCACCTGACATACTGCAACAAAACAGGAAGTTAGTAAGAAGAGGAGAGCCGAACGTTCCCATATATTCGGGATGTAAGTATCAGGTTGAGCATCTGACCTTGTCATAGTGACTTGATATCCACTCATCCTTGGATAAGAGAAGATAATACTAAAAACTGAGTGATAGCAAAAAGTTGAAACAATACCTAAATGAAATGGTTTGTGCCCTAGATTAGAAAAGGTATTAGTGGGAAAACTGGAAAAGTTCCAGTAAAATCTGTAGTTTGCTGCATAACATTCTACAAGTGTCAGTGTCCAGGGTCTGGTCAGTGTCCTGGAGTCACGTGAGAGGCTGACAGGACGTTGGGGGAGGTGACCATGAGAAGTTTTGTGTTATTTTTGCAACTTTTTTGTAGGTATGAAATAAACTAAAAATAAAAAGTTAAAACAAAAAGATACCTTTCAAAGTAGCACAAACATCTAGCAAGCAGCTGGGAATTAACTTAAACAAGAGCACACAAGACCTCTATGGAGTAAAATGAAACCTCTAACTAGTAGAAAACAAATAAGAATAAATAAAATAATAAGTACATGCTATTTTAAAATAAATATAAATTTAAAAATTAAAGTAATAAATAAATAGATGAAATGGAAAGATAATATAAAGATGTTCATTCTCCCCCAAATTTAATCTCGGTCATGATGATGGTCTCACAGATGTAGGCATCTGTCCAAACTCATCAAAATGCGTATGTTAAATACATGTTGATATTTATGTATGCTTTAATAAACTGAAAAAACCTAATAGGAGACTAATACCTAGAATGTACAAGGAATGTCCACCTGTTGGTTTTTTTAAGATGATAAACTTATTCTAAAATTCCTATGAACAAATAATGATCCATAAAGGACAAAGCCAGCCTTGAAATGAAGAGCGAAAGGAGACAGTGGGACATTGCCTTCCAAGCTGCGGGACATTCTGCAAAGTCCTGGAAAGAAAGCTAAGTAAGGTGAGTGCAGAGACAGACTAACAGACCAGGGGTGCAGAACGGAGACCTCAGCAATGCAGCCATTCATACAGGGCTAAGGTCACAGCACAAGCCATCTGGAAAAGAATGAATTGCTTAGGGGACACTCTTGAGGAAAACATCTCTCTATACAGACAAAAACAAAACTGGACTCCCCCCAAAGAGACAATCAAGATGAATTAATAACCTGTGAAAGGAAAAATCGTAGTCAATGAAAGAAAGTGTGGTAGGTGATCTAAGAACAGGAAACGAGTTCTTCAAAGAGGAAAAAAAAAGTACAACCCTTAAATAAAAAAGATCAATTCCATAACATCAAAATTATGAATCATATTAACAAAAAGCATCAGAGCTAAAGTTACCAGATGACACAGACCAAGGAGATCTTTGCAATTTAAATAAGTTCTAGAGATCTGATGTATGACATAGAGGCTACAGTTAGCAAGGCAGTAATTTAAAAGCTTGCTGAGAATAAAGACAGCAATGTTTGAGGGCTAGAGGGACTGGGGGCAGCCTAGCCAGTAAACCAGTAAAGTCTCAACTTCCTCATCTGCCTGCTCTCTCAGTCTGCATCCCTGGGCTTCCTCCCTGCCTCTCGGCCCCTGGCCACAGCCTCACGCCCACCCTCCGGGGGCATGCACCTTCCCACCCGTCCTGCTCCTTCCTACTCCGCCCCTGGTTACCAGATCCAGCCTCTGAGACTCACCCAGGCCTGGAGTCAGGCTGAGCCCAGGCACGGTTCAAATCTCCGGTCCTTGCCAGGTACTGGGGTAACCAGACAACTTGCCCTTGAGGGTTCCCTGGGATTCGATACCAAGTGCTCAGCACAGAGAAAGTTCCCCAGGAATGCTAGCTGGCACTTTTGTGATCTAGTGTCTCCATCACTGCTGGCTGGTTGTCATTCACCCTTCCCCACCGCCAGGTGATGCATATTGGTGCCAACTCTAGTTCTGGGCTAATCTTTCCTTTGCCACTGTGAATAATACCCTTGTTCCCCAGAACCTGCTCTTGGGGCAGCTGGCCTCTTCCTCTCTCCCGACCACAAACAGGCTCCAGGGCAGGCCCTCGGAAATGTACAAATGTTATAGGGAAAAAATACAGGAAGGGCTCTCTGGGCTCCCTGTCTCCCTCTAGTGTTGCTTGGGCTACTCTTTCCCTGAATGACCCCTCTGCAGGACTCTCCGAGGGAGCCCTAAGGTCACCCGCACAAGTCTGGGCCTAAGTCAGGGGAAAGGCCAGGGCCCTGGTCCGGGCTATGGGCTCCCAGCCAGAGCCCCGAACCAGGGCACACTAGGCTGGCTCCTGGATCTTGCCCTGTGCCTTCCTCCTCTCAAGCGCACTGTTCAGCCCCTCTGCTCTCTCTGCTTAAGTATCCTGTGCCATAGACCTGAGACGGTGCTCCCAGGAGCATTAGCAAGCTAAGCACTGACACGGGCGCACAGGTCTGAGACACACACTGGCAGTGACACCCAGGGAACATCCAGCCACAAACAGGAGCACCGTGGTTCATTCCGCACACATCTCCCAAGCACTTACCAGGTGCCTAGAGCTTGCCTGGGATTGCAAAAAGCCAGGGACACACAAGCAAGGGTCCTGTGGTGGGTTTAATAGCCTTCACCACCCCCACCCCTGGCCCCAGTTCTCATCCACTGGAGCCTCAGGATGTGACCTTTATTTGGAAATAGGGTTTCTGCAGGTGTAATCAAAGGATTGAGATGAGCTCATGCTGGATAAGGGTGTGTCCCAAATTCAGTGACTGGTGTCCTCACAAGAATAGAAGGGGACACACAGGGGGAAGAAGGCCATGTGACAGTGGAGGCAGAGACTGGAGTCGTTTTGTGGCAAGGCAAGGATTCCTGGAGCCCCTAGAAGCCAGAAGGGATGAGGAAGGAGCCTCCTCCAGAGCCTTCGGAGGGAGCACCGCCCTGCCCACACCCTGATTTCAGACTCTGGCCTCCAGACCTGGGAGAAAATAAATTTGTGGCACTTTGTGACAGCAGCCACAAGAAATGAGTACAGACCCACACACAACTACACGAACACAGAGACACTCAGTGCTCCCAGAAGCACACCTGGGGGATGCCATAATGAGCAGAGGCGCATCATGACACACCAGCGTTACCCTTTGGGCCCCAAACCACCCTCCGCTGCAACCAGGCACAGAGACCATTCCCTGCCTGGGCATGCATCCTGGCCACCACAGCGGCTGCAGGTCCAGGCACTGGAGAAGGAGGCAGCCCTGGGCAGTGGGTGGACTCAGTGGGGTCCAGAACCCCCGTCTTCACCCCATCTCCCTCCCCCCAGTTCTCTCTGCTTCCCTCTGCTCCAGCTCTCTGTGGTCTGCATGCCCTCTCCTCCACAGCTGTTGGTATCGAGTCCTGGAAAACAGTCCTGGAGATAGAGAGCTAGTCTTGCCTCACTCACAGCAATGCCTTGTGTGCAGCCTGGCCGGGGCCACCCCCCTCTGCAGCCTGAGGGGCCAGGGGAGGGCAGGGTGGGAGCTTTATCTCCCTGGAGTCCTCCCCAGAGCAGATTCCCAGAGGCCTCTCCCCAGAGATGCAGATGCGAGGGTGCAGGGTGCACGGTGCTCCAAGTCCAAGGAGGACAGCTGGCACCCTCCCTCTTCCTCCCTCCCTCCCTCCCCCATCCATTCCTTCCTTCCGCCCCTCCCTCCTTCCTTCTCCATGCATCACATGGTCACCGAATGCTAGTTAAGGAACCTGCATCTCAGGACCCAAGGAGAACACTGCCCTAACCTGGCACTAGCGGGGTCCTCAGCACGAGGAGAGGCAGAGCTGGGTGCAGACCCTCCCATCTCCTTGTGGGCAGAACTAGATGGCAGGGGAACCACGGGAGAGAGCGAGGCAGCCTCCTAGGAGGGGTTCTGAAGCTGAGCCCGGGCGGGGGCTTTCTCCTTGGGCCGCATCTTAGTGCCGTCCCCTCCTGCCTGCTTGCGGGCTCCATTCCCATCTGAAGGAACGCCTACCCTCTTTCTGTAGTTCCCCCGTCCCAGCCAGAATCCGGCCTTCAGCCTCTACCTCCACCTCCTCTCCACAGCCGCCCCACTCAGCTCTGTGGTTCCATTCCTGAATTAAGACTCAATTCTGGCTTCTTTCATCATTCCCACCCTAGTCCTGGCTGTCACACCTCCATTGCTGGTTGAAATGCCTGTTCTCCTAGCCTCCAACTTTGCCTTTCAAGTCTGCACACTGCATGGCAGGTGGAGAAGT